TTCCCGCGCTTCTGAGGCTTTGCTCTGGCAAAGCCTCAGAAGTGCGGGAACCCGCCGCTGCTGCGGGTTTGCTCCCAATGCCCCTGGTCTGCTGGAGACGGTCCCCAGCAGACCAGGGGCACCCGGAGCAGCTTTTCTCGCCCCGGAGATCGAGGTGGCTGACCGCTGCCTGTGAGCTCCTGGGCGAGAAAGCCCCGTTCGTAAGTGCGGATCCGCGTAAGTCGGGGACTGCCTGTAATGTCAAAATAATGTTGAGCTGGAGGACTTCTTGCTTCAACTCCTGTAACCCTCATTTTATGAGGAATAAGGGAAGTCAGAGGAAGAGTGCTCTTTCTTGGACTTCCTTGTTGTGTGGACAGCGCCAAAAGCCAAAATAAGCTATTTTGACTTAAGCTATGCAATTAATGTAGCTCAAGTTGTGTAGCTTATTTTGGCTTTAGCCCTGCTGTGTAGATGTTCCCATAGAAAGTTAATTTCACTTGTGGCAAAAATTACATTAAAGAGTTAGGTCTAGTGCATTTGCAGTGTAATGCAAAATATTAAGGGAAAAAAGACTTATAATGCAATAACAAACAGATTTTTTTTTGTTTGAGTTCTGGTCTGTAGTAACAAGGTGCTAGACTGTAAGTTTTGTGTCATAGTCCTCGGAAGCCATCAGATAATTCCCATTCTCCCAGAATGCAGGGACTACTATCGTATGACAGAGAAGATTTGGAATGGGGAGAAAAGCATTTTCCAATTCTGTAGCTGAGCTCTGTTTAGTCTGCAATGTGCTGTATTTAACTCAATGTCATGTACATCTCTTCCTTTGTATTGTAGATCACCAAGGTGATAGAATTTGCTCATGAATTTTTGATAAAACGTACAGGAAACAGGCCCAATCTTATAGATTTCAGTCATGCCTACATCTCAGAACTACCTCATGCAATGCAAACCTTTTGTCTAAAAAATTATAATTTCTTCTATATTTGATATTTTTTTACATCAATCCCATTCCTATTGTGGAACTGAAAAGATCTGTGATTCAAAATGATGAAAAGAGAAGCTATGGTTTGTTGTCACTTTCAGTTTTCAAGATGACATGATTAACTATGTAATTAGCAACATCATTAACAAAGTTAGAACAGATCACTCACTAGTATTTAAAGTGCTCTTGTCCATAATTGTAAAAATCTTTGAAGGTTAATGCATAAATATCATTCAATAGTACAGGAAAATACTTATGTAAGGAGTCAAGTTTTGCCCTGGGTTTCACAGGGAGACTGAAGGTGCAAACTGAAATGTGGAATTCCAACACCAAATGTCCTCATTATACGGACATACCCAAAAGAGTCACAAGCAGCTGGGGCTTAGACAGATGAGTGCTCCGTGCTGATTAATATTCAATATGGGCATGAACCATCCAAAAACCACGAGGCATATTCTAGTTGTCCAATCAGTGAACAGAATAAAAATTGTTAGCACTTTCCTTTTCCACAAACTTAACAACTTTTATAAACTCTAGGAATACAAAACAAGATTATGCTGTTCAGGGCCAGTAAGAAAGGCAGAACTGAAGGGTTTCAATGTCAGGAGGAGACAGTGGTGGAGTATTATATACAAGGTTGATCTGAGCACCGTTGAGAGGGTCAAATCAGGGTGAATTGCTTAGAAACAGACCCCCCCCCCACACACACACTGGGTGTTCTTTTCTATAAGGCACCAAACACGTCACAAAGAACACTTCAGTTGAATCACACAAGCAAATGCCCTTAGACTCTCCAGCATTCCCTGTAGCACAGCCAGCTCTGCACCTTTCACAAGTGAGAAGTTATAAAAACCAATCTTGCCAAATCTGAACAGGTTCTCCCAGTCCCAAATCAATTTATACCTTGGATCTTACCCAAAAGATCACACTGTGCCAATCCTTTTGAAACCAAAATCTAAAGGTTCGTTAATAACAGAAGGAAAAGATTAAGAGTGAGATTGTTAAAGAGAATACAGTACATACATCAATCACCATATTCTTGATGTAGGCTCTTAGCAGAGATGTAACAACTGCTGGTTTAAAAGTCTCTGGTGTACCTCCTATGTAGGGTCCACAGATCCTTCTGGGCCCTCTGTCTTTACCTGTGGTACTTCTGGAGTGGAGGGCAGGAATGAAGACAAGATGGAGGCTCCCTCAGGATACTTTTATAATCTTCCCATGTGGAGGGAAACCCCATTCTTCCACTGGGTGCTGGTGACTGTCAAACCAATTTCTGTCCTTTTAAGGCAAGGAGCCACGTAGTCCCCAGGTATGTCTTTCTCAGGCAAGGGGCCCTTATGTGCTCCTCTGGTGTCGGTTGGTAACACTGTCCATGTAGTATCAAGCAACTGCCCCTTCCAGACAAAAAACATGTAAAATATCAATACAAAACCCATAATTCATAATATTCACAGAGTCAGCACAGCATAAGCTTTTGTTGGGTACTTCACATGGCCCGCTTTGCACTGAATTTGGGGCATACACCCACACATTAAAACCCAATAACATGACATGTAGGGTGGAGGGATTTGTGATTATTAGGAATTGAGGAAATTTCGGGGAAAAGAAGTGCCTCTACAGCAAGGATGGGCTCCACCTAAACCAAATGGAGCCAGATTGCTGGTGTTCAATGGTAGACAAGTTTTTAAGGGCTGGGAAGAAAGCACACAGTTCACCCAGAGACATCCCTAAATGGGAGTTTTATTAACAGCCATTTTCTATATCTTATTAAGGAGGAGAGGATGGAAGTTGGTAAAGGAACTGAAGAGAAACAGTCAACTGAAATAGAGTCCCATTCAATTACATCACCTAGTGGTAGACAGCTAATGAGTGATGCAGTTTTATAAGGGGTTGTATAGACATGCTAGAAGTGTAACTACTAAGATGGGTGAACTTGAGTGTCTGGCATTAAATGAGGATATTGATATAATAGGTCTTGTGGAAATTTGGTGGAACGATAGTAATCAATGGGGCACAGTTAATACCAGGCTATAACATATATAGGAACAGAGTAGGTTGTGCTTGTGGGGGAGTGAAACTATCTGTGAAGAAACAGTGAAACAGAGTACAAATTTTAAATGAATGAAAGTGTACTAAAGAATCTCCATGGATAGAAATCCCATGCTTGAATGATAAGTATTAAATAGTAGGGATACACTACCAACCACCTGACAAGAGGTGATGGTGACTTTGAAATGCTTTGTGAGACAGGAAAGCCTATAAAAATAGAAAACTCTAATAATGGGGTATTTCATCTCTCCCCATGTTGCCTGAGTAACAGGATGGGATACAGAGATACAGCTTTTTGATGCCATACATTACTACTTTTTGGAGCAGCTGGTCCTAGAGCCCACAAGAACATTTTTGATTAAGTCCTCAGTTGGGATGCACAGAGGCACTGCATAAGGGACACTTAGGGTGTGTCTACACAGCAAAATTATTTCGGAATAATGGCCGCTATTCCGAAATAACTTTGCGAGCGTCTACACAGCAAAACCGCTATTTTG